CACATGGCAGTTGCTTCAATGCATTTAGGGGGTGGTCCTGGTCAAGACAATCTCCTGAACTGGAGAATGGGAGACTGGAGAATGTCAGAATGGGAAAGAAAGGTGATTGAGTGTGGCATGGTTGTTGGTGCCAGACGGGCCGGTCTGAGTATTTCACCATCTGCTCAGTTACTGGGATTTCACGCACAACCATTTCTAGGGTTTACAAAGAATGGTGTTGAAAAGGGAAAAACATCCAGTTATGCGGCAGTCCTGTGGGCGAAAAATGACTAGAGTTAAAAAGAACTGCATTTATTTGAAACGAAAAGCTTTTTTTTAGGATTAAAATGTATTTTACTGCCACTTTGATGAAATTTTATCCTTTCTGAATAGAAGTAATTAAAAAAAAAAAAACATACTGAGGATACCAAACTTTTTAACAGTAGTGCAGTTAAGATGTTGTACATTAAAGGATCTGCCAAAGACTTATCTGACAGTTGTTCATACACAATCATAATCTTACATTGTAGGTGAGCGTGTTGGAGGGTTCACAGTGGTATGCGCAGATGCTGAGGAGGCTAAAAGAGTGGAGTCTCAGCTGAAGATCCTGATTCGCCCCATTTACTCCAACCCACCCATGAATGGAGCACGCATCGCTTCCACGATCCTCACAACACCAGAGCTGCGTTCTACATGGTGAGAAATGCTTGCACACTCAAATGTGTGAAAAACTTGCACTACATATTAGAGGTTCATACCATTTTTTATTTTTTACATAAATGTATTCCTGTAGGCTGGAGGAAGTGAAGGGAATGGCCGACCGTATTATTAAAATGAGAGAAATGCTGGTGAATAATCTGAAGAATGAGGGCTCCACTCACAACTGGCAACATGTGACTGACCAAATTGGCATGTTCTGCTTCACTGGGCTCAAACCTGAGCAGGTACAGCCCTTTACATACTCAAAAAATAGTACAATTAATTAATTAAATGTAGCGTGTTTAACTAAATGTTATATTGGTGTAAGCTCTAATAGTAGGAAACTATGTATTGTGTTTCAGGTGGAACGTCTGACAAAGGAGTTCTCTGTTTACATGACTAAAGATGGCCGTATCAGCGTTGCCGGTGTGACCTCTGGAAATGTGGGATACCTTGCACATGCCATTCACCAGGTCACAAAGTAGACCAAAATGATGCCGATACAGGAGACTTGTATACTGGTCCTGTTTCTATTAGTCCACCCCACTATTCCTCTTTGGACTAAGATCTCAGCTTCACTTCATTTGGCTGTTTTTCTAGGTCAACATGGATCCTGAACATGTTATCAGGGTATCTAATGGTAACTTATAAGTCATCTCGGGTTATCTTGTGGTTCTGTTACTGAGCACATTTGAGAGCATTTTTCATCCTGTTACAAATTCTGGTAACACTTTACAATAAGGTTCATTAGTTAACATTAGTTAATGTATTTACTAACATGCACTAACCATGAGCAATACATTTGTTTACTGCATTTGTTCATCTTTGTTAATGTTAGCTTCATGAAAATACAGCTGTTCATTGTTTGTTCATGTTAGTTCACGGTGCATTAACTAATGTTAGCAAGATTTTAATCAGTATTAGTAAATTGTTGAAAAATAACATTAACAAAGATGAACAAATGCTGTATATGTGCTATTCATTATTAGTTCATAATTAACTAATGTAGTTAACTAACGAACCTTATTGTAAAGTGTTACCCAAATTCTGTTTAAACTTTATTGTGTGAGTGAAGTAAAATGAATAACAATAATAAAGGTATTGTGTCCATTTATTGTTCTCTGTGATTTTTCATTGTTGGGGACAGAACAAAGCATTCATTATCAATGTAGAGAAATCTGAGTTCAATCACACATCTGTACAATTTTATTTTGTTTCTAAGAAAAATAAATGTAATTGAATTTAAGATATTACATTTATACAGAAACATGTCAAAGATATTGGTGTGTGATTTTGATTTCTTTTTAAGACAATGCAACATTTTTGTCTTTAACAGGTAACAGGAGAGAGAGCGTTATAACCAGACTACGTGGTTTGACCATACGGGGTTAAATAAAACATTGTTTTTAATGGGCAAAAGTCAATCAAATGAATGTGTGGAATGTGGATCCAAGGAAGATGTAGAACATGTACTGTTATATTGTAAGAAATATAGGGATGAGAGGATAAGGCGGCTAAACCAGAAAAGTCAGCCAGGAAGGAAATGGAACCTAGAAGGTTTATTAGGCACAACAGGAGATGGGGTAAAACATACACAGAAAGCAGTTATTCAATATCTGATAAACATAGGAATATATCAGAGTATATATGAAGAGTTCAGATGCAAAAGCCTCTAAATGCCATTTGAAATTTTCTTCTTTAATGCTGATTTTTGTCAAACTTGTATATTTAAGTTCAGTGATTTCACTTAAATGGCAATGATAATTACCTATTGATTGTTATTGAAGTGAAATTACTGAACTTAAATATACAAGTTTGACAAAAATCATCAATAAAGAAGAAAATTTCAAATGGCATTTAGAGGCTTTTGCATCTGAACTCTTCATATATAAAGTAGTCCCAACGAATTATGGCTCATGTTACATACTTCGATACAGTAGGTGGCGGTATGCACCTTCAAAAGTCACGGTTGCAATCTGCCATAAAACAAAAAGAAGAGGAAATTAAGGAAGAAGCGGCGCTCATCCATAGACATAATGCGCTCATCGCCCTATGCTCATCGCTCATCTCTCATCCATTCATCCTATGATCTCATCACTAGCTTGATGTTGTCACGTGACCATGTCTGTGTCAGCAGCTAATCGATGAAGCAGTTTCGGTGGAGGCAGCAGCCTCATATTTATTTCAGTTCCTCTCTGGAAAACATCTCATCTATGCTCTTCATCACGGTGCGGGATTAACGAAGAACATACGCTTGAGGTGGGACATCTGCTTTATCACATATCCTTCATACCTGGACAGTTTATTAGCTAAACAAATGCAGTGCTATGTGAGTCACGTGAGCGTTCGGGTGTCACGGCATGTTTTGTGTCTTTCTTGTTTGTGTTTTTTTACCCTCTTAAGAGTAACGTTAGTGGATGTAGAGTTAATTTTCTGTGCGATTAAGAGTGTTTGATCAGTGTCAGTTTCCTTGACTTGGCCTAATCTTTTGATTGAATCTTATTGTCAGTGAGCATGTGTCTCTGTGTGGTGATGTATCTGCTATAAACTCAAAGACACCGTCATAAACTAACGCTACCATCACTTTTCTCGGTCATTTAGTTCAGACATTTCATGAAATAATCCCAAATCGATATGTTATTGATCAGCTTTTAATCAAGCTGCTTTAAAGATAATGTCCTGACCGTGCTTTATTCCTTCTCTTGTGGAAAGCATATTTCATTTCCTCATCGTCTCAGATTTCTGCTTACTGATCAGCTGAGAAATACAATTATGTCCCGTGACTCCCAGACACTTGAACTAAAGTGCAAACCTCTGTGTCATCAAAACAACCACGTGGACTGTGATCTTGACGTATTGTTCTCAAGCAAGCAAAAATATCTGTCAGACAAGTCAAAAGCAAATACACTACCATTCAAAAAGACAAGAAAGAATTAATACTTTAATTGAGCAGGGATACTTTAAATTGCTTAGAAGTCAAATGTATTATGCAAAAAATTATATTTCCAATAAATCATGTGGTTTCTATTCATCAAAATAATGTTACGGTTTCCACAAAACTAAGCAGCACAACTTTTAACAGATAATACAAAATATTTATTGAGCCACAAATCAGCATATTAGAAGGATCATGTGACTCTGAAAATCAGCTTGACCATCACAGAAAATAAACAGTTATTTGAAATTGTAATATGATGTCAGACATTTACTGTTTGATCAGCTGAGAAATACAATGTCCTGTGACTCCCAGACCTAAAAGTGCCAACCACACAATGTAACTGTATGATGGTCATAAACCGTTTTAGTCAATTTGTGAAAACTACCATGTGATATGTTCCCTTCTTTGTTCACAGATGACATTGAACACTGAACACAACTCTCTGTAACTGTATGGACCCTGTGGAGGTGTTTACACCGTTTCCCCCTCAATGGTGGTGGATCTGACTGACAGCACAAGTGTGTTTACCTCTACGTTTACCCTATGGTGTCCCTGTAAGTTTATCTGAGGGTGTGTGAGAAAAGCAAGCGTCATGTCCAGGGCGGACAGGGCTGTTAACAGTGAAGTGGGCGATTGGGGCTACAGTGAGGATGCTGGAGAAAGGGCATGGCTTCTGCAGAGTCCCAGCGTGGACTCCATCCAACTGCCTAACCAATCAGAGGAACGAAGGGAAGGGACATCTACATTAGGGGCTGTTTTTATTGTGGTGAATGCTGCTCTGGGAGCCGGACTTCTCAATTTTCCTGCTGCTTTCAACATGGCTGGTGGCGTCACAGCCGGAGTGACCCTTCAAATGGTGAGAGAGACATAAGGACAGATGTAAATAAAACCAAAAAGTGTACAATTAAAGACAGAGTCTTTTGAAGTTTAATGTTGTGAAATTCAAAGTTTGCCTTATTCTTTTGCAGTGCATGATGGTCTTCATCATCACTGGGCTGGTGATCTTGGCTTATTGTTCTCAGGTAAGCATATATCTGTATCAGACGCATCAAGAGAAAATGCACTTCCGTTCAGATTTGAATTTGCATTAAATTGATTAAAAGTAACAGTAGAAACATTTATAATGTCAAAATAAATGCTATCAAATAAATCCTGTTCTTTTAAGCTTTCTAGTCATAAAATAATTCTAAAAAGTGTATAATGGTTTTCACAAAACTATTAAGCACTGTTTTCAACATTGATAATAATAAGAAATGTTTCTTGAGCAGCAGATCACCATATTAGAAAGATTTCTGTGACGCCGAAGACTAGAGTAATGATGCTGAAAATTCAGCTTTGTCGTCACAGGAATAGGTTGCATTTTAAAATGCATTAAAATAGAAAATATTTCTTATTCATGTGGCTGTTTTTACTGTATTTTTGATTAAATAAATGCAGCCTTGATGAGCATACGAGATTCCATGAAAATAAAACCTTACCAAGCCCAAACTTTTGATCTGTTGTGTATATATTTAGTTTTATAAAAGCTTTTTAATATTGACCGTTTTCATATTTCCGGGTTTCTCAGAAGTGGAAGTCGTCATGTTTGGGTTAACTTTTATATCGGTGAATGAGAGACTACATTCAATATTTTTTGTTTCCATTAGCTCAGATAGCAAAAGAAAAACTCCACAATTGTGTTTTTACAACTTTTAAAAAGAAGGGAAAAAACAGAGAGAGATTGATAACAGCAGGCAGAAGACAGAAAGATGTCATTTTTACAGCTACACCCTTAGCCTCTGTATTAGAAACACTCCAACAGCAGCATTTACTAGTTTTTTGTAATTTAATGCAAAGTTATATAATACAAAGTATAGTATTATAAATGTACATACATTAAATTGTAATGTGGACTCTTTGCATTTTATGTAAAGCTGCTTTGAAACTATGTGCTTTTTGAAAAGCGCTATACAGTTAAATGTTAATTTAAATGGAAACATAATAAATATATATATAAATATAAAACTTTGCAAGATTTATGATGTTGATGACTGTAAAAAAAAAGTGCCTTTACAGTCTGTGAAAAGGGTCCATAGGGTACCTGAAAATTACCCTGGCTGAGATCCACTGGTTTACACCCCACACCTTTTTCTTTTTTTTCTCATTTTTAGGTGAGCAATGAAACAACGTATCAGGAGGTGATTCGTGCTGTGTGTGGGAAGGTTCTCGGTGTCATATGTGAGCTGGCCATCGCTGTTTACACCTTTGGCACCTGCATAGCCTTCCTTATTATTATTGGAGATCAGTTGGACAAGTGTAAGTATATTCACATGTACAAAGAAATGCTGAAATAGTCTGACTAGAGTTGTCTGATTTTCTTTCTTTCTTGGTACAGTGATTGGTGCTATAAATCACGAGTCAGAAACGGCGATTATTTCGCACTGGTACACAGATCGCAAGTTCACCATCACTTTGACCTCCGTGCTGATCATTCTTCCTCTGTCCATACCCAAAGAGATTGGCTTCCAGAAGTATGCCAGGTAGAAACGTCTTTTTTGTGTTTTTTAACTGTAATTTTGTCATGCTTTGCAATGTTATATCACAAAACAATTCCACTTGATTATTTAATCAGTGTTGGGGGTAACGAATTACCAGTAATTTGAGTTACGTAATCAGATTTTTTTAAAGTAATGCATTACTTTTAGATTTACAACAAAAGTTACTTTTTCAAACAAGTAACGCAAGTTTTCCTATGTATTGACTGACAGCTCTCCTGTCGCCATGTTGAGAGAAATCAGGAGTGAAGAGGCGTTGAGTGTAAACTTGGTGGTTATTGTAGTTCTAAACTAAATCTGAACATGCATTTACTAATCTTACTTGGACAAAAAATTATTCAGAATTACTCAGAATAAAATCAGTGAAATGCAAAATCAGAATACTAGTATGCAAACCTCCAATAATTAAATGTGTTAAATAAAACAAATACCTTTATGCATTTATCTCACTTTATTAACAAATGTACTTGCTGCTGACCTTCGATGGTTCAGTTAAAGGTGCCATCTGTCAAAAAAAATCTATTCATACTCCATATTCCATACCAGATGGGGGCAGTACACCTCCAGAAAGTGACTTGTGCCGCGGCCGCGCAAGCCCTCACTCTCACGTGTCCAAACAACACAAGCGAGCGCTGTTTTGCTCTCTCCCCCTCGCGCATATTAATCAAATAAATTGACACGATAGTAAAAGGTTGGAAGACCGCAGTTTCACGTGGAGCATTTGGAGATTTTTAGAGATTAGAGACTCAATGAAAAACATCTCAACACTAAATTATAAAATCCGTCTCATAGACGTCTCTCTCAAACACAAGCCAGTGCATTTCGACGATATGTGAAAATACGTCTATTTCTAAATACCGTAAAACGAATAAAGTTTTACGGTATTCGTTTTGTTCATATTACACTTTTATTGTTAGTTTGAATTAATTTGACAGACAGCATTCGCTGATGTTGACCAAGCTAGCGCCATTCAGAGCTGCCAATTCTCACAAATTCATTGTGAGACACGCAATTGACACTTTTCACACGCTTTCACGCCACACATCAATTTTGTCACACACAGAAAAGGACACGGAGACCGACAGACTAGACAGAGCAGGTTGGTTATGATATATAAAAAAAATCTCATCTCTCAGTAATTTAGCATGCTAATTCAGGTTAATATCTCGGCAGCACTATAACTTGTCATTTTTTAATGACATCATCAACCCTATTTCTTCTCATTCTTTTGATCTGTGTAGCTAATCTTTGGGATATTTTAACCTCAATTCTTACAGATGGCACCTTTAAACTAAAAATAGCTTTAGATTTTTTTGTTTTTATTTGTGAAGTAAGTGTTTAAGTAAGTAAGTCTTTCTTCTCCTGCATCCTATTCTTCTGCAATCCAGAGTCAGAATGGCAGCACAGCTGAAAGGTTTATTTGAGCTGCGCCGTCTACTATACAGCAGTGAATTTGCATTTCCTTCAGCCCTATTATTTCAATTTTGTTGTGTAAGGGCCTTTATATTTGCCCAAAAATAAAACTTTTTTTTTTTGTTATAAAAAACGAGCCCAGCCCAGGTGAGAAAAAGTAATGCAAAAGTAACGTAATGCAATTTTTTTTCTTAAAAACGTAAATAACACAATTATTAACTTTATATTGCAATGCATTACTTTTCAAAGTAACTTTCCCCAACACTGTTCCTCAGTATTTGCTGGTTAAATCATATATGCATATTTGTACTGATTAATTTGCAGTACCTTGAGTGTTATCGGCACCTGGTATGTGACAATCATAGTCATCATCAAATACATTTGGCCTGACAAAGAAGTTTCTCCAGGAATCATCCCGGTCAGGTCAGAAGTACATTTTATTTAGTTATTTGAGAGAAACAATACAGAGTAAATTGTGATCACTATTATAATGTGATGTGTTGTGTCTTTCAGTCCTGCATCCTGGACCGATGTGTTAAATGCCTTGCCTACAATCTGCTTTGGTTTTCAGGTGTGTAAGTAGACTTTACTCCATTTAGTTTTTTTTAGACTTAAAAAATGTTGGGTTGTTTTTTATTTATTTATTTTTTATTGTTTTTTTTTTTTAAATAAAATAAATGCAGCCTTGGTTAGCAAGAGATTTATCAAGCCAGTAATATTATTAAGTATTATACCAATTTAAAATAACTGTTTTCTAATTTAATACTTTTTAAAATGTAATTTATTCCTGTGATGCAAAGCTGAATCAGAAACCATTCTAATATGCTGATTTGCTGCTCAAGAAACACATATATTGGAGATAATAAAATTTTGTGGAAACTGTGATGCATTTGTTTTTTCAGGATTCTTTGATGAATAGAAACCTAAAAATAACTATTTATCTGAAATAGAAATCTTGTCACGTTTGTCTAAATTGATTGATTGATTTAATTGCATCTTTGCTGTATAAGACGTATTAGTTTATTTCAAAAGATACAGACCCCAAACTTTAAATGGTAGTGTATCAACTGTCTCAACCAATGACTAAATGTCTGAATTCATTCTACTTTTGAAAGCTAGCAAATCATCATTGTCCTCACACTCTTTTTCCTAGTGTCACGTCAGCAGCGTTCCTGTTTTCAACAGCATGAAGAAGCCAGAAATCCGGCCTTGGTGGGCAGTTGTTACAGTCAGCATGATCATCTGCCTCTTTGTGTATACAGGCACGGGTGTGTGAGCTTGAATTTGCCAACATATTCGAATGATAAAGTAGGCCGAACCTGAGCTGGTTGTATAAGCTTTGGGCTTGTTCTTCTCCACAGGCGTCTGTGGCTTCCTGTCATTTGGCTCAAGCGTGAGCCAGGATGTATTAATGTCATATCCATCTAATGATGTTGCGGTGGCCATTGCGCGAGCCTTCATCATCATCTGTGTTGTTACCTCATATCCAATTCTGCACTTTTGTGGAAGGTAAACAGCCTTTCGTGGTCTATAGATGTGTGTCGATTGAAGGATGCATGTTGTCAGTCTAAAAGGATGTGTGTATTTGTTTGTGCTTTAGGGCAGTGCTGGAGGGTTTGTGGTTGCGTTTTAAAGGAGAGGAGGTGGAGACAGATGTGGCTAAGGAACAGAGACGGAGGATATTGCAGACGCTCGTCTGGTTTTGTCTCACTCTAATTCTTGCTCTCTTCATTCCTGATATTGGACGAGTCATTTCACTAATTGGTGGTTTGGCTGCGTGCTTCATTTTTGTTTTTCCAGGTATTAAAATGAGAATGATCTTAGACTGTACTTTTTCTTGTTGTATCTCATAATTGTTTCGTCATATTCACTCTTCTAATGTTTGTCTATAGGGTTGTGTTTGATTCAGGCAAAGCTTTCAGAGCATGATTTCAGATCACTCAGGTAAGTAATTTATTACTTATTAAAGGGTTCACCCAAAGAATCTGTCAATACTTATTCAGCCTTTTGTAGTTCCAAACCCATAAGACTTTTGTTCATCTTTGAAATAGAAAGGAAGATATGTTTAATGAAACTTGAGAGATTTCTGTTCCTCAGATGAAGAACCACTTCAGCAAAAGTTTGATGTTTGTAAAAGTAATCCATATAACTTACACACACACATAGAGCACATCAAATACAGTATGGTAAACGGAAGCTCAAACATACTTCCCTACTTGCTTGACCTTTGAGAAACTGTTTACCATATTTCATGGGCTCTTTGTACTTTGATCAATGTTTATATATGAATAAAAGCCTAAATATAAGGCTTGGATTAAACCGCTTGATATGGATTAGGTTTACAATCTCTTTTTGGTGGAATGAACTTTCAATGGAGAAACAGAAATCTCAGGTTTTGTTAAAATATCTTCAGTTGTGTTTCAACGATGTACAAAAGTCTTATGGGTTTTTGAACAACATGAGGGTGAGTATATGATGAGAGTATTTTCATCTTTGGGTGAACAACCCCTTTAAACTATTTTAAAAAATGCCCAAAGATTTGTGTTTTAAATGATAAAACTGATAAACTAATTCTGTCTCTCTAGTTGGAAAGCAATGGTGGCCTATGGAGTCATCATGGTTACAATTGGCGCGTTCATCTTTGGCCAGACTACCACGAATGCTATCTACAAAGATATCATGAGCAGCCCATAGGAAGGGGGAATGGGGTGACCTCACCAATATTGGGCTATGAACCAATAGAGATATTTAAAACACGGGAATGACTGTCCAAAAATCATGTCTACCACTGACCTCTATTACCTATTCAGGAGACTGTTTTAAATGTCTAATATTGCAATTTAGCATGCACTCCCACAGAAACCTGTACCTCGTGATGTAGTGGATCAACCACCAGCATGCAACATCAAACTCTCTGCGCTGGTTGTCTGTGAATGGAGGACGCCTGGAAAGGATGCGATACTTCTCTATTCTGAATGGACATGGACATTTGGTTAAATGCTCCTAAGTTAGATCTTCCAAATATAATCTATTTCTTTTGAAATGTAAATTTGTCCCCTTTCTCTTCTTTTTAAGTTTTATATTTTTTTTAATAAACTGATTTTTTTTGATGGCCTTATATACTTGACATTGTTAATATGGTCTATGTTCATAATGTTTACCCTTAAAATCTTATTGCAAACTTGTTTTTCTCGATGATTTGCACTGCCAAACATGTAATTCTATAGTTCCAAAAAATCTGGGAAGACTAATAGTGTGTGTCGCGTGCGTGTATATATACACCGCTTTAGACTGAAAATGACAATTTAAGATTTTTTTTTTTTTTTTGAGTATTCTTGAAAAGTTTTTATTTTTAATTTGATGCATTGTTGTTGTTTTAGCTAGATTTTCTAAATGTGCTTTTCATAAAAAAGATGTATTGGCCAAGGATGCAACAATCTCTGGTTTTGTAATTTCACTGATACTTGAATGAGTGTAAAGAAGACTAAATGGTTAACTTGAACAGTATTCATTTGCATTTAATTTTGTTTTAGGGTGGAATCATTAGTATTGAAAATGAGCATTTGAATCATTCTCCAAAGAGTTAAATTGTGTAAGTCACATTGGTGTGCTGGTTTCTTCTTTTGCACCACATGATGCAGTTGTCAATTGTGTGTGGATATTAGCAAAATTCTTATGTCATACCTCATAGATTTAATCAGTAACACTAGCATGCATGTTTGCCTTTTCCTCAATCATTTATTATTGTATGTTTACAGTTTCAGTGCAATCACTAAAGGGATGTTCCACATTATACTGCTCTTGTGCTCTTTTGTCTTCAACTGCAAGATGCTGTTCAACTATCATGCATTCCACTAACAACTAAAAATGATCAAATTGAATACTCAGAAAATGTAAATGATTGGCCAAATAATGAAGGCTCAGTTTAAATGAACTCATTAGACTAACTCATGTCATTTAGGGCAGGAGAAGGAGGATGAAGCATGAGCATTTCTTGCAGATTTTAAGGGTTCATTTTTCCTCTCATAGGCCTAGTTTGTTGTTTTGGCAAACCCCAAGATATAAAATACCCTTTTATTTTAATTCTATTTAATCTCTAAAATATATTTTTTTAAATGCTTGAAAATTATGTGAAATAAAAAAAAACATCTCACATACCTGTATAATTATTAAATAGCATACATGTTATGTTTTTATTCAGATCTGACCTTAATTTCTTTAATTAGTCACATAAAATATCTCAGGTTTGGTTAATGAGGGATAAGTTATACTACCGTCTGATCTTTCTAACCTCATTTCAAGCATCTACGTGCTTAATAAAATATCAAGTAATTAAAAAAATTGTATTGTACATTCATACATAACATTGCTGTAATATATTTTACCTAGTTGGTCCAGCAAATATGTCATTCAATTCATTTGTTATGAGGATCCGTGATATAATCTGATAATACTCGATAAGCTGAGAAAAAAGGTTGGAAAAACAGAACAAGGTGATTGTTTACACACGTTGGTTGCTTATGTAACCGGAAGTAACGTACTCTAGTTGATGTTTGTCAGCATCACCTGACGAATGTAAAAGTCATATGACCGTGAGAGGAAGGGAAACTCAAAAAAGCTCACGGTGACGGTCAGACAGGAGAGGGTCACAGCCATCGATAGTAAGAGAAAGCTTGCTAAAGTCTTCGAGTCCATGTCCATCGGACTGTGTAAAATGTTATCTCTCCATGCCTTCATCTGTCTTCTGTCCGTGTCGGTGCATGTCGTGAGCGGCATGTATGATCCAGACGAGGTGCTGGATCTACCGGGCATGTCTTTTAAACCCAATTACCGTCAGTGGTCAGGCTATCTGAAGGCGAGTTCGGGCAAGTTTTTGCACTATTGGTGAGTTTAATTGTTTTTTTTTTCTGTCTGAGCGTGAATATGCAGCATGTTTTGTTTGTGATGAGGATGTGTTTGCGAAAAGCATTTCCTCCTTCACACTGAATGAAAAATAAAGACGTCTTATACATTATTTTAATATATATTTCAATATATTATTTAATATACAATTTTTAATATATATTTACTTGCACGGATTAATTGTTCACCACAAGACTAGTAATATGCGCTAACAAAGTAAATAGGTTCAATTTTGATTTCACGGGGACTTTAAATCCAAACAAAACAAAGCATAAAAACCTTTTTTTTAAGTAATTAAAAACTTTTTATATAAAATATTTTGGCGATATATGGTCTATTGCATGGACTCTGATATAAAATAATATTGTACCATATTCATACAATATCGAATATGTCTAGAAAAGTATTACATTTTTAACGTTACATAATTGTAATGCTAGGCTATAAGTTTTGGTTTTGAACTTTTGTTGTGAGTACGAGTGACTTAGTAGCTGTGCAAACAAGGTTTGAATCTCCTCAGTAAGGCAGAAAGATAATGTTTTGTGTATTAATAGTGGCATTGATGAGAGTGTGTATGTTTCAGGTTTGTGACGTCTCAGAGGGACCCTCTCAAGGACCCCGTCTTGCTGTGGCTGAATGGAGGTCCGGGCTGCAGCTCTTTGGATGGGTTTCTATCAGAGAATGGACCCTTTCATGTAGGTTGATAAACTACTTCCATTCAATTTAAAAATGACAATTACTTGAGAGCTGATTTAATTTCAAAGGAATAAGAACTACAGAGCTGTAAAGTTTAGAGAGTGAAAATGTAATGTTGACTTCTGAATTGTTCTAAATTGCCTTTCTGTTCAACACAAACAGTGTGTATCTTCTGTGTGTGTGTGTGTGTGTGTGTGTATCTATCTGTGGTCCTTAGGTCAATGATAATGGAGCCACTCTTTACGAGAATGAATTCAGCTGGAATAAAATCGCCAATGTTCTGTATCTTGAGTCTCCTGCTGGAGTGGGTTACTCCTACTCAGATGACCAAAAATATCAAACCAATGATGATGAGGCAAGTATGCAAACATTCATAGACATTAATAGCCTTTAAAAACTTCTGAAATCCTGAATATGTACTTTTTTCTTTAGGTAGCGGATAACAACTACCTGGCTTTGCAAAGCTTTTTTACCAAGTTCCCAAATTTCACCCAGAATGAGTTTTTCATTTTTGGCGAGAGTTATGGAGGCATCTATGCACCCACACTCAGTCTGAGAGTTGCCACTGGAGGCCACCTTAAAGTGAACTTTAAGGTAAATTAAAATATGCTTGATTCATTTTTAAAATGGAATTTATTTCTGTGCTTATTCTTGAAGACTGTTGAAAGGTTTATTTTTTATTTATTTTTTAATTCTTCGTTTGGTTTCTTTTGCAGGGTTTTGCTGTTGGAAATGGCATTAGTAGTTTTGCACTAAATGATCAATCACTAATCTACTTTGGTAACTATCACGGCCTGTTTGGAGAACAGTAAGCTTAATCATTTATTCTTACGGTATATTTGGCCACTCGTGTGTTTATTTATAGTACAGTAATGACAAGGAATATTTTAATTATAGGGTTTTTTTATGCTATTTTGCTTATAGGTTGTGGAAGGATCTGAATGACAACTGCTGTCAAAATGGAGTCTGTAACTTCTACAATAATTCTAAGGAGTCCTGCTCTGTCATGGTAACGTGAATACATCCACATGCTTGTTCTACAACCCTGAAGTCAAAATTTACTATTCTTGTTATATGGAATATTGCAGTTTTTATTATAAATGATTTATTCGTCCACAATATATTTAATAAAAAAAAAACCTTGTGCCCTCATAATATTAATCAAAATAACTACCACTCCCACTTGCAGCGACTTCTCTTCTCTGATGTTGTGTTTTTCGGCGTGAGGGCGGGACAGCCCGTCACTCGCATGAGATCACCAAAATAGCAAACCTCAATGATTCAATCAATTCCTGATGAACAAAATCAAGTCTTTTTTTTTCTTGTTCGAGAAGCCATATTAGAGAAGAAAAGACTATCACAACTTCTGTTTCATGTCGACTTTGTGATTTGTCTTCTGTGTTTTCCAGGTATCGCATGCATTTCATATAGTCTATGACTCTGGGTTGAATACATATGCGCTGTATCTTGACTGTGCTGGTGGTGTCACATCTCAGAGAGCCATGAAGCACCTTTTTTTAAACTTCAGGAAACATTGGGAAGCTAATCAAGTGAGGCCTGTTTGAACTACTCATGCAGCCTTCCAACATCTACTTTAATAAACCAGAGAGAACAAAAAGGTGAATTGTGCTCTCGTTTATATGTTCAGTTAGTAGGAAAAACTCCAAGTGTGAAGGGAGTTCCTCCCTGCATCAATAGTACCGCTCAGATGAACTGGCTTAACCGAGGAGATGTGAGAAAGGCGCTGCACATTCCTGATGTCCTACCACCATGGGACATCTGCAGGTAAACTGACGCCTGTCCTGACTGTGTTTGTGCGCATAAGATCATGTGTGGATACTGTGTTTTTCCTTTTTATGCAGTGATGTTGTGGGAAACCAGTATCACACCATTTACGAAACTGTGAAGGACGTCTATGTGAAGCTGCTGGCTTTGGGTCTGAGAGCTTTGGTCTATAATGGAGACACCGATATGGCTTGTAACTTCCTTGGAGACCAGTGGTTTGTTGAGCAGCTTGGACAGAAGGTAAGATCTTTGAGATGTTCAGCAGATTTTATAGCACCTTCTTGGTTTAATGTTTGGTTTTCTTCTTCAAGGCAAGCACACAGTACCAGCACTGGATTCATGATGACCAGATTGCTGGATTTTACCAGCAATTTGGCAACATCACTTTCCTCACAGTAAAGGTAAGTTTGTGTTGCTCTTTTCCAGGTTGAAGTAATACTTTACTTTTAGCTTCAATAAGATCCATTGATGTACAACCTCTGTTTGTAATCTTTATGGAGATTCAAATGACAGTTAGGCGTTCAGGCTAAACCGTAAAAGCGCCAAACTGTTATTGTAGTGATATGCCTAAAAATGTTGCTGGTTTCCATTTTATACATTTTCTAATTAGCAATAAATGTCATAGGGTGTAAAATATACAATCACTTTCATAAGTTTGGGGTCAGGACGTTTTTTGAAAGAAAGTAATTCTATTTCAGAAAGGATGGATTAAATTGATCAAAACTGACATTAGACAGCTATAATGTCACGCAAGATTTCTGTTTTAAATAAATGCCAATCTTTCAAACTTTCTATTCATTAAAGAATACAGAAAAAATGTATCACTGTTTTCACAAAAATATTAAGAGGCACAACAGTTTTCAACATTTATCAGACAGCCCTGCATCTTGAAAAAAAGAATTATGCTTATTGCAAAACAGGGCTAATATTACCTAATTTGATAGTGCTGAGTTCAAAAATATAAATAAATACTTACCAAAATGTACAGGTTTTTTTTATCTTTTCAAAATAAAGAATGAACATTTTTATCAAATTATATGTATCAAGTTTAATTCACTAATCAAAATAACAAAAGCAGTCATATGTCAAAAGATCCATTACAATTTTATCCATTTAATTTACACTCTGCAAAGGAGAACTTCACGTAATCATGAGTTTATAGAAAAAACAACTTAAAATCTGTAATTTTCTATCGCTGTTTGAATTTAGTACAATGCACAGATGTACAAAAACAGAAAACATCTGGGCCATGTTTGTATGTTCTTCTGTCACATGAAATCAGGATTAGGCATAAAATGATGTCATACATGTGAAAATCAGTTGAGAATGGGTTAAATAGTTCAAACTTGGCTCAGAGTAAGATGGGAATCATGTCTTTGAGGGGAAATACTTTACGGTAATTTTATATAATATTAATTAAGGGCTAATGCAAGACTTATTCACCTTACAAATGGTTGTTGAAAGCGAAAATGCTATTAAATTCAAAACAGGTGCTGTTTTTTTTTTTTTTTGGGATCGGCACCCTAAAGTTATTAAGAAAGAAGTATTGGATTTCATTTACCAAATATGGTTTTGTGGCATAATAATAATAAATGTTTCTTGAGCACCAAGTCAGTATATTAGAATGATTTCTGAAGACTTGAGTAATTACAGGAATATATTACATTTTAAAATATAATCAAATATAAAACAGTGATTTTAAATTTGTAATATTATTTCACAATATTACAGTTTTACTTTATTTTTGAACAGCCTTGGTGAGCATAAGAGACTTCTTTCACAAATAGAAAACGTGTGAGTGTGAGTGTCAAAATCATTCTTATTAAAGCTGTTGTGACACACAATTCTGCTGTTCCAGGGTGCAGGTCACATGGTTCCTCAGTGGGCTCCTGGTCCATCTCTACAAATGCTACAGAGTTTCCTGTCTAATAAGCCTTACTGAACTTCCTCCAGACCATATCCTGTCTTAAAGCGTAAAATCAGATTTTCAGAAGTTGTCCTGGATTGATTTAAAGAAAGAGTGATTTTATTCTTAACTTTTGAAATTTGACATGAAGATGTAAGACAGTTTTCTCAGGGACAGTTGTGTGTATTTGCATATGTTTGGGACTTTGGTTAAGCTGTTTTAATTTTTTTTTTATCTGTTTCAATCTTTTTTTTATGCCTTTTTCCTTGAATATGGGTGGTGGTTGTTCACATATTGATATTTTTAAAAACGTGCACTTTTAAAAATCACATAAATGTCTTCGCATTATTGGTTCGTTTTGTTAAGATTTTGTTTTGATGAGATTTGTTAATTAAATAAGTGCCAAGACTCTCTTTTGTAAGTTGTCAAATAAAGTATTCTGAGAAAAAATGTAGTCTTCATTTTGTTTATACCCTTGAAACAATAAAACTGCCAAGTCAAATAAAACCAAAACTGACAGCAAAATTAAGCTCATAATTAATATGCATCTGTGGTTCTAAATGGTTTACAAACCCAACTGATTCTCAAATGATCTAAGAATTGTTATATGGATGAGTGACAAAGGTACACTCCTTGAGGTACAGTGTGTGGAAATTCAACCTAAAAGAAGTTTACAATTTTAAAGTTTTCCACATGGAACTAGAAATATAAACTGGTAACGATACCCATGTCACGATTCGATACATACATCACAATACTGAACTCACGAAACTATATTATTGTGATACTCCAGTCCAAAACATAAGATTAAAGTTTAACAAAAAATGCATTGTGGGTGTAAATGAATAGGTTTGGACTTGGTGCTGGTAACCCAATGCACAGGACAATAGTGACACCAGAATAAAAATAAAAATACTGAATTATTCTAGATTATTTTATGCTTGCACTCTGTCACTGACTGGATACATTTATATGGATATATTTATTATAATCTAGACCACTTTGTTTGGCAACATAAGACATTTTTTGTCAACAGGCATTTTTAGGACATTACATTTATATATATATATATATATATATATATATATATATATATATATATATATATATACAAACCCAATTCCATAAAAGTTGGGACACTGTACAAATTGTGAATAAAAACAGAATGCAATGATGTGGAAGTTTCAAATTTCAATATTATATTTAGAATACAACATATCAAATGTTTAAACTGATATGTTTAACATATCAGTTTAAACATTTGTGTTGTGTTTAAACATTTGATATGTTGATGACATATCAAATGTTTAAACTGAGAAAATGCATAATTTTAAGGGGAAAATAAGTTTATTTTAAATTTCATGGCATCAACACATCTCAAAAAAGTTGGGACAAGGCCATTTTTACCACTGTGTGGCATCCGCTCTTCTTTTAATAACAGTCTGCAAACGTCTGGGGACTGAGGAGACAAGTTGCTCAAGTTTAGGAATAGGAATTTTGTCCCATTCTTGTCTAATAAAGGCTTCTAGCTGCTCAACTGTCTTAGGTCTTCTTTGTTGCATCTTCCTCTTTATGATGCGGCAAATGTTTTCTATGGGTGAAAGATCTGGACTGCAGGCTGGCCATTTCAGTACCCGGATCCTTCTTCTACGCAGCCATGATGTTGTAATTGATGCAGTATGTGGTTTGGCATTGTCTTGTTGGAAAATACAAGGTCTTCCCTGAAAGAGACGATGTCTGTATGGGAGCATATGTTGTTCTAGAACTTGGATATACCTTTCAGCATTGATGGTGCCCTTCCAGATGTGTAAGCTGCCCATGCCACACGCACTAATGCAACCCCATACCATCAGAGATGCAGGCTTCTGAACTGAGCGCTGATAACAACTTGGGTTGTCCTTGTCCTCTTTAGTCCGGATGACATGGCGTCCCAATTTTCCAAAAAGAACTTCAAATTTTTATTCGTCTGACCACAGAACAGTTTTCCACTTTGCTAGAGTCCACTTTAAATGAGCCTTGGCCCAGAGAAAACGCCTGCGCTTCTGGTTCCCGTTTAGATATGGCTTCTTTTTTGACCTATAGAGCTTTAGCCGGCAAGGGTGAATGGCACGGTGGATTGTGTTCACTGACAATGTTTTCTGGAAGTATTCTTGAGCCCATGTTGCGATTTCCATTACAGTAGCATTCCTGTGTGTGATGCAGTGCCGTCTAAGGGCCCGAAGATCACAGGCATTCAGTATGGTTTTCCGGCCTTGACCCTTACGCACAGAGATTGTTCCAGATTCTCTGAATCTTTGGATGATATTATGCACTGTTGATGATGATAACTTCAAACTCTTTGCAATTTTTCTCTGAGAAACTCCTTTCTGATATTGCTCCACTATTTTTTGCCTCAGCATTGGGGGAATTGGTGATCCTCTGCCCATCTTGACTTCTGAGAGACACTGCCACTCTGAGAGGCTCTTTTTATACCCAATCATGTTGCCAATTGACCTAATAAGTTGCAAATTGGTCCTCCAGCAGTTCCTTATATGTACATTTAACTTTTCTGGCCTCTTATTGCTACCTGTCCCAACTTTTTTGGAATTTGTAGCTCTCATGAAATTCAAAAGGAGCCAATATTTGGCATGGCAATTCAAAATGTCTCACTTTCAACATTTGATGTCATCTATGTTGTATTCTAAATATAATATTGAAATTTGAAACTTCCACATCATTACATTCTGTTTTTATTCACAATTTGTACAGTGTCCCAACTTTTATGGAATTGGGTTTGTAGTTTAATGTCTGACACTGAAACTCTGTCAACTTGAATTTTTTTTTGTCACACAGTTTTCATTTTGGGTGAATTATACACAATCCATATTGTTACTATTCATGATACTATACTCTTCATGGTAATGTTGTTATACATTATAGAAATTTTTATATTTAAATACATCTGAATTCTGAAAATGTCATTCTGGCCCCTCTATGGGTCCCGCCATTTACACACCTGGCTCGTTGTGTAAAAATCGAAATGAGTGTGGACATGAAGAGTTCAGATGCAAAAGCCTCTAAGTGCCATTTGAAATTTTCTTCTAGAATGATCATTTTTATCAAGCTTGTATATTTCAGGTCAGTAATTTCACTTAAATGACAATGAAGATTACCTATTAATTGCCATTTAAGTGAAATTACTGAACTGAAATATACAAGCTTGATAAAAATGATCATTCTAGAAGAAAATTTCAGGTGGCACTTAGAGGCTTTTGCATCTGAACTCTTCACATTATGTATGGATATAGAAAGGGAATATAAATGATATTTTAATGGTGGTGCTGATATGGCAATAGAGGAGCGAATGGAGGGCAGTAGCCTAACCATAAACTGTAAACCTATAACCTGTTATCAGTTAATAATGTACAGTAGGGGGCGGTACATGCCACTTTAACTTGGTCGTACCGTTCTATTCACCCAAGACAGACGAAGGAGAAAGGCAACAAGTCTTTTTCGCGCACGCGGTTGGCGGAACCAGGCCTACGTGTAGAGATGTAGCCATGGAGGAGGATTATGATCAGGTAAAGAGTGTATGTCGGTTTGAAGTTATTTTACTAATCGATATTAGCGATACTGCTATCTAATTCTGTTGTTAAAGTGCACCGTATTTAAGCTTCCGTGTCTGTGTGTGACTGTTGGAGCTACGCTGCGGTGCAACAGTATACTCTCTTTCTCTATCTTTCGGGCTTTATCTTACTGCTGGTTCTGCCCTTGTGAAAAGAGACACAAAACATTGTATGTTCTGAATATTAACTAACTATAAGCTTGTGTGATGCTGAAACCATTCACTCATGTGTTGTTTCCATTATTTTCATGATTAACAGCAGCTGGAAGAACACCTCGATGGACAAGAGGATCCGTGCCATTTGATGTTTTGTGATTAACTTTATATATTTTATTATTTGCACATTTTTACAATACAAATCAGTCCCAACATTCAATTATATAACTGATATATCAAATGATTTATATATTTTATTATTTGCACATTTTTACAATATAAATCAGTCCCAACATTCAATTCTTTTGTAGTCTACATCATGCTCTATCAGTATGAAGCTGAGCTTTCTAGCAGCACAATATTACATATATGGTATTTAAGTGTATTTTAAAAACAAAATAAAAACAAATATTAAACTGCTACCACTGGAATTGTCATGATTCCAAAATGGATTAGTTGTGAATTGTTTAAAAAAAAATGCATCAAAGCTGCCTGTGATCAAGGTTTCATTATACATGTTTAATGCATTTAAGAGGCGGGCTAGTTGTCACTAGAGCTACAGTCTCGGTAACTAGTTTTCCCAGGCATGGGTTTTGTAAGTTAATTTTAAACGCCATTTAAAATTATAATGTATTTTTGCTGTAGACATTGGGTAAATAAGCAGATGCAATAAAAACATATTGAGTTTAACATCTTAGGGCAAAGGTATTTTTCATAAATGTCATTGCAAGTTGTTACACGTGCAATATGTTGTAATTTTATACTTCAGTAACTTCCAGTATTTTTTGTTTTAATCTTGTGTGTAAATTTTACTAAAAAGCTAAAACATAGTTTATAGGCAGCTACCATTGTGCTTGTATAGTGTGATGTGATATGGGGCATGTTTTCACTGAAGGGCAATATATGTTCAATGAACAGTTTCACAAGTCTCCCCAGGTGTACGTAGTTGTACAGTCATACGGTAAGGTTTCACTGACTGTGTCCCGCCATATATATATTTGAAGTCCGGCTCTCCTGCATCCTTCGGCCAGATAAGATTGAATTGTCGCAGCACCGTGACCAGGATGAGGAAGAGCTCCATGCGAGCTAGATTTTCTCCTAAACACACACGAGATCCTAGGAAATAGAAAAGTGAATGTAATACAAACACACAGTTTTTTTCACATTCTACTATACACAAATGTGCTTTCTATGTGATCAATGTATTGTTTTGATCATACCAATGACCCTGTCTGCATAGTGTGTATTTAAACAGCTCAGGGACACCCCTGTCTGGATTATAAATAAACTAAATTAGTCTAGATTAAAATACCTCTTTACACCGACTAATAAAACATACACAACATACCAGCAGAAAAAGGCATGAATGCGTCAGGCTTCACAAATTCCCCCTTTTCATTCAAGAAGTTTTGGGGGTTGAATTCATGCGGAAACTTCCACTGACTTTCCTCTCTCAGAGCAGATGACAGATAGGGGATGATAATTGTCCCCTGTGAGAGCAGATGTTTTTAACAAGATTAGCAAACCTCCCTTTTATAGTCAAGGAGTTGCAGTAATAACAGTTTGGTTGATCGATTGTTTTGATAAGATAAAATAATGGATAGTACTCTTTCTTTTATGCCAGTTTTATGTGTCATAGTAACTCTACACCTTTGATGTAAAGAAACATTTGTTGCCACACACAGTAATTATAGTAAATGCCACCTTTGGGATGCTGTAGCCCTGGAGTTGAGTGTCGGTTGTGGTGGTGTGAAACATACTGAGTGGAACAATGTCACCAACACGCTGACCCTCATGAATCACTGCTTGAACGAAAGGCATGGCGTTTCTGTCCTCATATGTGACGTGTTCACGAGCACCAAGGACTTCATCAATCTCCCGCTGACATTGCTCTGAAGACGTATAAACAGATATTAACACAAATAGACATTGAAAGACTATGAATGCTACAAATAAAATGAATTATATCATTTCAGAATCTTATTTTGCTGCATATTATTTCTTAATGCAAAATCTAATTGTTGGAAACAGAAATTTGCAATAAATCACACACACTCTCGCACATTCTTGAATGCGGTTTACTGGGACTCTCCATAGGCCTAATGGTTTTTATACAGTACAAACTGTGTATTCCATCCCCTTACACTAATAATAATAGCCTGCCCCTAAACCCCATCACAGAAAACTTAATGCATTTTTACCTTTTAAAAAATAAACATAATTTAGTATGATTTAGCTATAGGCTGTTTTCCTAATGGGGACCAAAAAATGTCCCCACAAGGACAAGGAATTTAGATATTGCAATCTTTGCAGGGACATTTTATCCCCATAAAGTAGTGTTCATTCACCTAAACCACACACACACATAGCTATCATTTTGGAAAATATATATAAAAATGACATGGATTTATACATGGCGATTCACCAACATGTATCACCTGGAAAAAATAGTAGATAATTTACTTTGACATTCAAAGGTTTTTAACATAAAAACTCTCAATTAGACAAATCTTATCCACATTCCTTACCCTGAATATGAGTGTGCGTCATCAAATAGAGTGTTAAAGTTCGGAGTGTGTTAGAGGTTGTGTCGGTTCCAGCCACAAACAGGTCAAACAGCAAAGTGACCATTTGTGAGTCATCAAAGGTGGTGCGTTGATCTGCTCTCTGAAAATAAAATGACCTCACTCACCACTTTAAATCAGAGAATATTAAACTCATTTGCTGCTGAAAAAAACAAAAACAAACTTACCCTACACTCTAAAAAATGCTGGGTTGTTTTAACCCAATTTTGGGTCAAATATGGACAAACCCGAAATGTTGGGTTAAAAATGTAATGTTAAAATTTAACCCAACGGCTGGGTTAGTCCATATTTGACCCAAAGTTGGGTCAAAACAACCCAGCATTTTTTAGAGTGTATACACAAAAGTATCTTACCTTCTCCATCTCCTCCAAGTAACAGTCAATCACGTCTCTTGGCTGCCCGGTAACATGTGACTTCCTGTGCTCATCCACAACTTTAAGAATATGTTTTCTGATTGTCTCAAAATCGTGAAAAGCTTTCCAGAATGGCAGTGGAAAAATCCTTAACGCGGGGGCTATTTCATAGAGCTGCAATTCAGAAGAAAATCTTTTTTACATATATATGTGTGTGTGTGTGTGTGTGTGTGTGTGTGTGTGTGTGTGTGTGTGTGTGTGCCATGTCACCTTTATTTATATGGTGCCAGCTTTACAGTGATAAACAGGAAAATAATCATTAAACACAAAAATAAAATGTCTGTAAAAATGTCTGTCGTTCCACTTGTGTACAATAGGCTATATATACACTATACAGTTTATTTCAGTGGTGCATACACTAAGTGATATACAGATAGCAGTAGAGAATAAACAGTGTAAATATAAGTAATATGCCTATTGCCTATATCGTTTATGAAAATAGCCTTTAACAACAAGGTTGGCTATTTGCATGTAATTAGATGCTCTTTATATTTCGTTGTATTTACCATTGCCCATGGTCCAATGACAATCTTTGTAAGTTTTTCCATAGTTATGATCAATGTCTGGAAATATTCATCCTGATAATTGAAACGTGACCCAAAAATGATTGAGGCAATGATATTTGAAGCAGCTCGGTGGTACAGATGTTGAGGGTCAATTGACTTTCCTGGTAGAGTTGTAGAGACACAAAGACAAGGAATGTTTTCCATTCATGAATTTGAATGTTCTTTGGCAAAAATGTCTATATACAAACATAGGACACTGAATATGTCAATAAATGTGTTACGTTAATACAGAGATTGAAGGTGACAGGTGAGTAGGCCGTACCAGCAGACTCCTCCAGTTGTGCGCAGATATATTTGACTTCTTCCAGAATCCTCTGCTCCATACTTCTCTTTCCAAGGCCGAAGTTCCTCAGTGTGGTCAGAGCAAAGCGTCGATGTCCCCGCCAGCCGTCTCCATAATCTGCCATGATCACCCCTAAACACACAGAGACACTTGTCTGTGTTATGTGAGCAGTGTGATTTGCTGCTTGAGTACTCTAGTATTTTGTGTATGCTGCGTTACCTTTGCCCCTTGTTATATGACTGACCATCATGTTCTCTGATCTACCAGCAAACTCCACCGCTTTTGTGATCAGTGCCTCCCTGATCATTTTCTGTCCCGTCAACACCACTGCTGGCTGTCTACCAAAGTTCAGTGCGTAGATTGATCCATAGCGCTGAGCAAACTGTAGAAAAACATTCAAGTTGAAGACCACAAACTCAGAGCAGGATGTTATTGCTGTGTCATGCTGTATGAATGAAGTTTGATTTCTTTTCAGAACTTTTCATAAAGGTACAGGACAATGATATGCTTAAAACGGAGAAGTTTTTCCTTCGACTTTTCCGTGACCATTGGCAAAACGACGGATCCGTAAAAACTAAAATTCCACTATTCTGCTGCCAGGCCTTTTATTATTATTATTATTATTATTGCCAGTCACATGGCTGGCATTAGACCTTGGAAATGGTATAACTGCTGTGATCTTGAAGCTGACTTCTGCTGATGAAACGCAAACTATCTTCAGTAAAACTTTTCTTTAATTTTTTTTTTTTTTATAATTCTGACTCTGGGTCTTCATTCTTCATATCTGGTTCTTACATAGACTACAACAAATGTAAAGAAAATATACAGTGTAATTTATAAAATAACAATAATTATATAATAATAACAAGTAAAAAAAAAACAAATAATATAAACCCAGGCCATGTGCTTACCTTGTCAAAGTTCTTTAACGGGTTTATGCGGTCAAATTGTAGCAAATTTCCAAAAAATGGAACAGGAGTGGGTCCAGGGGGGAAGTTTTTAGGTCGCCGAATTCTGAACTGCAAGTAGAGAAGAAAGGCTCCGAGACATAACAGAACCAGTGCGGTCCACATGGTTACTGATCTACTGGACAGGACTTCTGAAACCTGCTATTTAATACAAACAGAGAACTGATAAGCACGCACAGAAAACAACCTTTTTCAACTCTGCTGAACTCTTAAAACTTTGTGTCGGGAAAAAATAGACTATAGGTGAAAAGTTAAACTATGATATGACTGGAAAGGTAATATCCCAGCAAAGGTCAATGTCTGTACTTTTGATAAAGTTGGAGGTCCATTAAATATGTCCTATAACAGTTTCCAAGTTTTGTTCACCATAGTTTCTTTAAAAACATATGAAGAAAACATATTTGTTGTATGTATTATTATGTGGTGCATAAAGTCTAGCTCACTTGTGCTCTTCAAAATGCCCAACAGAGCTTAAACTGGATTGTCTTTCTGTAGTAGCCAACTAAAAATGAAATTGCTTATTATCTTTCCCTTTTTATCCAGTGATTTACTGTTATCTATTCTCAATCTCAATGATATTATGCCCATGTTTAGTTTTCAACATCAGGTATTCCGAAAACAAAATGAACTGACAAAATTTTTCAGAGCAAGGATATTTCGCATATCGATAATACCACTCAGTTGGGATTGGTGTAGTCAATGTGGGCCCAGTTTGCACATATGCACAGTTATTATTAGACTTGCTTTTTGTTGTTATGTCCTCCAGCATGGAGAATTTTTACCCCAAACAGCAATTTAGAAGTAGCTTGTTAAAAATGTTAAGCTACAGATTAAATCAACTTTCCTCTAAACAACCTTAGACATTGTAAATGACCTATTGTATTAGGAGGACTATTATGCAATGCATAGTGGCAAACAAGTGATAGAGGTAGTTTGTTACTTAATTTAAATTACATTCCGTTTATTAGAAACACTTCTTATTTCTAACGATTATTAAAAAAAAAATTCAGGCGAGTCGAATCCAGGACGAATCCACGAGGTGGCGTTAAACCCGGTCAAGTCCAGTTCGTTGCATCTGTGACGCATTTTCCAAGCGCCGGAAACACGTTCGCGAACGCTGATGTGTTATTTTCCACTATGTGGATGTAGTTTAATGTTGAAGATTATTCCTTAAAAATAAGAAACCGTTAGTTTTTTAGATGCATAAAGGTGAAGGCCTCATCACCGGGTGAACTTAACGAACAGGCACACAGGAAGAACTCAGGGAAGATGCCGGTATATATGATTAACAACTAGCAATTCAAAAAGAAACATGATTAATAACTGTGTTTCATAAAAATGTATTCATATGACAATTGCAAATTACGACTGGTGAGATTTAAGTGTTCTGTGTGTCCGTGCTGTCCTGTGAAGTAATATATTTCTCATTAGCCGAAAGGTAAAGTTGGAACCAAAGGAAAAAAGCAAATCTATGAGGAAAACCAGGATACTCTAAAGTTTTATTGCAGAATCATCCTGGGAGCAAACGTAAGGCATGCAGCTAAGCTCTATCTATCTATCTATCTATCTATCTATCTATCTATCTATCTATCTATCTATCTATCTATCTATCTATAAAAAGCAATAATTTGAGTGTTTTTTTCTTGTATTCTTTTCAGGCTATTTATGCAGCAGTCAATTTCTTGCTCTATTCATCTACATTTTGGACATGGGTAAGTCACAGTATGATGTGCATATTTTGTTGTTGTTGTGTTGTTCAGTGATGTGAATGAGCAAATCCAGGTTGTTGTATGCGTTAACCTTTTTTCCCAAATGGAAATAGCCCAGTGGTTTTCAATCTTTTTGTTGCCATGGACCCCAAATTGTAATAAATTCTCATCCTAATGTGAGGAGCCTCCATCCTAAAATGTATAAGGCAGGCCGCTATATATGTTTTCACGTATAAAGACCCAATTTATACTGTGAAAAAAATAGTATTATGTGTAAAATATTATTTTAGTTTGTTTCTTTTAATTCAAATCTTACCTTATTTTGCAGTGTTTAAACTTCTTTTTTTGTATGCTTTCTATGCTCATGGACCAGTTCAGTAGGGGTAAACTTTTTGCGTGGCAGGGGGAGCTGCCACTCAACCAGTCACTGTTACATGCGCCTGCCACTGGACCAGTCAGTTATATCCGCCTGCCACTCGACCCATTACAGATACGCTTGCCTCAATATTCACCATTAACAAATGTTTTTCACCTGCCTTACAGCTACTAGCAGACACTCCGGCTGATGCATATGATCAAATAGACAGTTATACATCCCGTGTTTTCTTTTACTTTTATTTAGACTACCCATTACCACCTAAATTTTTTTCCGTCCAGAGCGCGAGTCGTCGCACTATTTTTCATCTTATCTTCTTTTTTTTATTAATTGACTGGGTGAGTGGCAGGTGCACGTAAAAGTGACGGGACGAGTGGCAGGTGCATGTAATGGTGACGGGGCGAGTGGCAGCTCCCCCTGCCATGCAAAGATTTCACCCCCTCTCGACTAGTTTGAAAAACCCTTATGATAATATCCATCTCTCCATATTTGCTTAGGCTTTAGATCACTGTATGGTTTTTGTCAACTGTGAGATAATGAACTGTTGGCAGTTTCTAGTTTCTTGGTAAAAGTTAAATGTTATTCACTCAACTCTTCTTCCAGTCTGGTGCTGAAATTCTCTTTCGTCTCTTTTGTACCAGTTCTCGCTACTGTTTGCAGTGGCGGTCTACTTTGGCAGCTACAGATCAATGTCAGCAATGGCTAAATCTACATTTGCTGAAGATGGTAGTTTGATTGATGGAGGGATTGACCTCAATATGGAACAGGGCTTGGCAGAGTGAGTTGAATGATTTATCTGTATATTTATATCCGTATTATATGTGTATTTTCAGTTGGTGATAAATATTTTTGATATTATTCATTAGTTACTTTTTTCTTATATTGACATGCAGGCACCTGAAGGATGTGATTATCCTTACTGCCATTGTTCAGGTCCTCAGTACTCTGTCATCCTACTTCTGGTACTTCTGGCTCTTGGTGAGACTGCAGGATTGCTCTGATTGTAACATCATGGAGGTCTCTCTATTCCAGTTTTACTGTAAATGTATTATTTGCTCTCTCTTTACACCAGGCACCTGCAAGGGCTTTGCATTTACTGTGGGCAAACTTCCTGGGCCCCTGGTTTTCTGCCGATTCACAGGCAGCCCCTGAAGAGAACGAGAAGAATGACAAGAAACAGAGGCGACAGGAAAGACGACAGATGAAGAGATTCTAGACTCTGTTTTTTTTTTTGTTGTTGTTATTTTACATTTATTGTACAATTACAAAGAACATGCAATGAACTGATCTTTCCTTTTCAGCCATCTGGATCCTTTTTCTTACTTAATATCTGTCTTAAAATCTCTAGCTCAGGTGCATCACAGTCATAAATCTTGTTGGTTTTTTTGCAGTGAGTTAAATGCACACAAAATGCCTTTGCTTACCATAGTGAGCTTTCATTAGTTTGAGTTGTTAATGAGGAGCTCTCAAAAGGTGCAGCTATATGGCCCATTGCCCTCAGCAATTAGCTTTATGCGCAGCTGCACTACTTCCTGAACTTAAGCCAGCTCTTTTGTTTCCTGTCTGTCATTATTGGCCAAATTGATTAGTTCAGGTGTGCCTGACCTCAGTAGTCATGGCAACAATAATCAGACACACTTGAATTAATCAAGCTTGGCCAATAATGGCAGACAGGAAACAAAGGAGCTGGCTTAAGTTCAGGAAGTAGTGCAGCTGTGCATAAAGCCAATTTAGACCTGAGGCTGTATAAACCTCACTAACCACATGACATTTCACAGCACTTGAGTTCAGCTATTAGAATATCCTCTTTAGGCTGTTTAGAAAATCATGTGCTGATTCTCTATCAAAGATCAAGTCTTTGAGATGTGATGTTCTGCCGAGGTTACAGGTGCAGCCTGGTGCTGTTTTGAGGGATTGCAAGATAAGACATTTACCTTGTGTTGCAACAGAGGACTGTCTGGTTACACATTTTTAACTGTTCAAATTATATTATACTGTTTGTATAAAGCTGGATGGGATAGTATATAAATATATAATACACGTGATGACACTGTATTGACTGGCCCCCGTGAATATAACTGTTCAATGGACTGAAGCAATGAGCAAAAGAACATACAAATTGCATCTTGACAACATTGTAAAAATAAGTTGCTTCTAGTGAAATTTATAAATACCCAATGATTATAAATAAAATATTATAAAATGGTTATGAGTTTTCTTTTAAAAAACACAACGCTGTTCCCAGAGGCCCTGCCAACATTTTAGATGTTAAGCTCCAATATGACATGTTTACTTTTAATTTAAGTCTTCTCTACTAATGATCTTGATTAAATTATATGTGTTAATTGAGGGTTGTTGCAGAACCAGGATTAAGAGCAACTGTAGTAGTTGTTTCTGCTTTAAATAATGTATTTTTAGCTAACTGTGGTTTGTTCATGAACATTTCTGAAATCCATAACTTGGACACAGTCCCCCTTATTACAGATGACTCTGTAAAGCTGCTTTGAAACAATATGTATTGTGAAAATAAATTTTAATTGAATAGTAGGTAATGTTAGACAGTTCCAACGCGCATGCGCACTCTGAAAATGCGCGCACGCGGATCTTTCCTCGTCCTAATTAAACTAATCTTTTTCTCATTCATTAGTGCTGATCTGATCTGTCGGCAGACTGCAACCATGATAGTCCCCAATTCTTAATCCAGGCTGACTGACCGTCACCAGAACAGGGAAGGTAAGAGGAACTGTTGCTAAGCTACCGCTAGTTAGCAACCAATTAGAAACAATATGAGACAAGCAAAATGTGTGTGTAAACTGGGTCGAATCGATGTTTGTCGGCCAAGCGTGTTATCAACATTCATCTCATAAATACACGCCAATTTTTCTTGGACTTTGGAAGAACAGAACAGAACAGATAGGATAATGAGGTAAAGGTTGGTAATTTGTTTACAGTTGAGATGAGTTCGTTAGCTAACTTACATTGCGAAGCTAACTGTTAGCTTAAAGTTATCTAGCAACAACAAGACTTTAACCTGTGTTTGCTAGTATGGTTCGTTGTTAGTAAGTGTT